TGTGTGTGTATGTCTGTGTGTGTATGTGTGTGTGTGTGTGTGTGTGTGAATAATTCAGTGTGCCAAGCAAGCACGGCGATGCTTATTCAGCCAGGAGACAGAAAGTAGGTTAGCGCTGCCGCATCTCCAAGTTGCTTTACCTTTTTCCTCTTGAGTCAGTTCCCCCCCCCCCCCCACCCTCCCCGCCTCCTTCACCGAGGCGCTTTGTTTATAGGCCAAAACCGTCCCCAACATTCTGCAGTGAGGGACCCGTGAAAGGGTCCGTCGAAGCTCCCGATTGGCCTTTTTGGTGGTTTTCATCACACGTCCGCTGCCCCTCTGCCCAGTAACGTCGCTGACATCCGCAAGTTATTTTAAGGCCCAAGTAATGTGTCTGTAAACGCTGGTGACTCACCCTGATGGGGGTCTGCGGAGGCGGGAAACGCCCTGCCTCTGTGTGTTTGTGTGCGTGCGTTTCAGTGGACATGGAGCATGTACAGGAAACGTTCCGTTATTGTGGTTTGCCGCCCTGCCATTGGATGCTGGGAAGGAACCTCGTCATCTCATCTTGCGCTTGTTGTCATTTAGGAGGCACTTATTTCTTCTTCTTTTTTTTTTGTTTTCGTAGTCTCCCATTCAGCACAGGAGCAAAGTGTGTCACAGGAATGCGTGAACGAATGCAAAAAGCCATTAGCTTAGTGGCCAAGAGCATCTTTTCTTTCTGCCGCCTTATCTCCCGAGTAGATCTTTTATGCCCTCGTTGGGCCCCTCCGCCTCTCCTTGTTGGTTGGCTCACGAGAAGGTCCGACAGGAACCGACTCCCTCTGCCTTTCTTTTTGCCCGTCCGCCCTGCAGGCGTCCTCTATTATTTGTCCGACTACACATGTGCATGTGTGCTTTATGTAACAGGAAGTAAGAGCAATTACAAGCGGCCTCTGCAGACAGTAGCCCGCTCAGTCGCCGATGTGAAATTTGTATTTGCCGTGTGACCGATTTCCATGATTTTTTTGCTAGGCTGCGGCGTGAGGCCAAGGAATGAAACCATTTTTTTAATGCCGAAAACGCAACATGGCTTCTTCCTTTGTAATTTACTGCCAGCTATAAGACTGGTGTGGATGGGAGTAAATGTTGGAGGAAGTCCAGCGTTATGCAAATGAAGGATGGTGCTCACTAACGGCTGGATGTGTAAACAGATTGACGCAGCAGAATGTATACTATTGTACCGTGGAACCGCAGCATTTTTTTTTTCCCTTCTTTCGAATCGTGGGTGGATCTGTTTTGTTCCACTGCAACGTTTCAGAGTTTTTGCGGTCCCGCACAGAAGCCGATTTCAATTGCCTGCGTAATTCTGTTGCAAAGCCGTACGATAATGATTCGCAGCATTTTGTATGTTCACTGCGCGCAAGTGTGGGCGGTCAGCTCGAGCGCCATTTTTCTTTTCATGCTGACTTTCCTCAAGACAAAATAATACACCTCCGATGATTTTCTGACACTCTTTCAAAAGAGCTTGAAATGAGAAAATGGTCAAGCCTCTCCTTGTGTGAGTCTTCACCGTGTCGCGTGTTATTCATTTACAGCGTCTGCGGCGGCTGTCCACAAAGTACCGCACGGAGAAGATCTACCCCACGAACATTGGCGAGCGAGAAGAAAATGTGAAGAAGAACCGATACAAGGACATACTGCCATGTAAGTACCCCGCCGAGTGGTACCGCCGGCAGCATTCCATTTTTTTTCCCCCCTATTTCCGACTGTCTCATTATGTCTCCTTCCTTTTCTTCTTAGTCGATCACACTCGGGTGAAGCTGACGTTAAAAACAACCAATCAGGATACCGATTACATCAATGCCAATTTCATCAAGGTACGAAGATAGAAAAAAAAAAAAACACGGCAACTGACTGATGGATCCTTCTGATAGTTGATCATCTGTTTTTCCAGGGCATGGATGGCCCGGAGGCCTACATCGCAACTCAGGGCCCTCTCCCCAACACTGTGATAGACTTCTGGAGGATGAACTGGGAGTACAACGTCGCTGTAAGTACGCCGCGGGGCAAACCAAATTCATCGGGCTTCTGTTCATATTTGTACAAAACAATCCGCTTCGCTGTCTGGCTCATTGAGTTGAAGTGTCCGCTGGATCCAAAGGCATATGTTGTCCATGATTGAAAAAGGGCCGGTAATGATCAAAGTCATAAATAAATATTTCATATAGCTGAGCGACATTGAGCGGCAGATGGGGCGGAGCAGATGGGTCCCGTGCTGGGCGGTTGCGGCGATAAGGCTCAACGAGCTGGCTTGAAAAGCTTGCAGATGTGAAAGTGTGCGAGCGACTCCATTGTTGCCGTTCTAATCCTTCCTGTGTGCGTCTCCGCAGGTTATTGTGATGGCCTGTCGAGAGTTTGAGATGGGAAGGGTGAGCCCCCTTTTTAAAATTGGCTGTCCACAAAGTACCGCACGGAGAAGATCTACCCCACGAACATTGGCGAGCGAGAAGAAAATGTGAAGAAGAACCGATACAAGGACATACTGCCATGTAAGTACCCCGCCGAGTGGTACCGCCGGCAGCATTCCATTTTTTTTCCCCCCTATTTCCGACTGTCTCATTATGTCTCCTTCCTTTTCTTCTTAGTCGATCACACTCGGGTGAAGCTGACGTTAAAAACAACCAATCAGGATACCGATTACATCAATGCCAATTTCATCAAGGTACGAAGATAGAAAAAAAAAAAAACACGGCAACTGACTGATGGATCCTTCTGATAGTTGATCATCTGTTTTTCCAGGGCATGGATGGCCCGGAGGCCTACATCGCAACTCAGGGCCCTCTCCCCAACACTGTGATAGACTTCTGGAGGATGAACTGGGAGTACAACGTCGCTGTAAGTACGCCGCGGGGCAAACCAAATTCATCGGGCTTCTGTTCATATTTGTACAAAACAATCCGCTTCGCTGTCTGGCTCATTGAGTTGAAGTGTCCGCTGGATCCAAAGGCATATGTTGTCCATGATTGAAAAAGGGCCGGTAATGATCAAAGTCATAAATAAATATTTCATATAGCTGAGCGACATTGAGCGGCAGATGGGGCGGAGCAGATGGGTCCCGTGCTGGGCGGTTGCGGCGATAAGGCTCAACGAGCTGGCTTGAAAAGCTTGCAGATGTGAAAGTGTGCGAGCGACTCCATTGTTGCCGTTCTAATCCTTCCTGTGTGCGTCTCCGCAGGTTATTGTGATGGCCTGTCGAGAGTTTGAGATGGGAAGGGTGAGCCCCCTTTTTAAAATTAATTCATTTATTATCATTATTAGTCTCAGTGGACTGCTTATCTGTCCAAGCAACCCAAAGCTAATAAAATTATATTTGCTTCTAGAAGGTTAAAAAAAAAAAGAAAACTTTAAAAGCAGCATGATTTTTTTTTTTTTTTTTTTTTCGAGACGTTTTCTTCTTTAGGATGAAAGTTGACTCTCCCGCTCTTCCCTCCTCAGAAAAAATGTGAGCGGTATTTCCCGCTGTTCGGGGAGCCCGTGAGTTTCGGGCCTTTCAGAATCTCATGTGTAAGTAGATAAATCTGCACCGTCGCAGCTGTGCTTTGCGACGAGGGCATGTGGTGGGGAGGCGGAGCATTTCTCACATTTTGTTCTAATGGCGTCGCTTGAGGTTTGAGCGAACACTCCCGCTGTCTGTCTTCCAGGAATCGGAGCAGGCCAGGACGGACTACTCCATCCGCTCTCTGGTGGCGGAGTATGAAAATGTAGGTCTGCTCTCGAACCCGAGCGCATATCTGGCAATCCTGAGCCTCGTGTCTTCCCGCAGGAAACCCGGCGGATAACGCAGTTCCATTACATTAACTGGCCCGATCACGACGTCCCTTCGTCGTTTGATTCCATCCTGGACATGATCGGTCTCATGAGAGAATACCAAGAGAACGACGACGTCCCCATCTGTGTGCACTGCAGGTGGATAGAGCATATACACTCTTGCCTTTCTGACGTTGCCGCACCGGCGCATTTTGCTTACGACCGCACGATTCCCTCCAATAAAGACGTTCTCATGGCGAAAGAATGAAGGGCACACTGCGATACCGATGGCACGCACCGTCTCCATCTGTGTGCAATAAGCCGTAATGAGAAGCCCGAGGACACTTCCTGGTTGCGCGCGGCACGGCTTCGAGTCGCGCCTCGGCGCTTGACGCGCGCGGCCTGCGCCGCCGAAAAGCAGACAGCTGTGTGACAGCATGAGATACGGTTTTATGATAAGTCGCCTCGACGCCAAATATGATGTCACATCAGCTTCTGTGGAGCCCCCGTTTCCATTTTGTCTGCCATTTTAAATGTGCGCAAGGAAATGGGATCGAGTTACGAGAGCGAATACTCGCAAAAAGTGCTTCGATGTGAAAGCTTATTTGCTTGATATTGACTGTGCAGTGCTGGCTGTGGGAGGACAGGCGCCATCTGTGCCATTGACTACACGTGGAACCTCCTCAAAGCTGGGGTAGGTTCACATACGCTCCTGCAAAAAGGAATTGCTTTCCACAGTTGTATTTGATGTCTAAGTGAACCCTTTTTGCCCGTTAAGAAAATTCCAGAAGATTTCAATGTTTTCCGGTTGATCCAAGAAATGAGGACGCAGCGACACTCAGCTGTTCAGACTAAGGTTTTGTTCTGAATTTTATATTTTGTCCCATTTCTTTGCCCCCTTTTTTTTTTGTTTTTTTGTGGGGGCAACTCACGAGGACAAGTTTTCGATTTAATATTCTCCGTGTGTTTGTGTTCGTACCTCTTGCCTGAATCTAAATATTGTGTTAAACGCGAATTGAAGCAGTTTCCAGGAAGCCTGTAATGAAATTTAAAGAAAAAAAAAAAAAGCCCTCGCACACGCTTCCTGCCTCCTCACTGGGGGAAGTAATGAGGTTAGCGTTCATCTGCAAGTGCTTTTCAGGCTGCATGTTTCATTGCCTTATGAATGAATGCTTTTGAGTGCCAAAATATTTGTATTTTGATATTGATTTGCCGTCTCTCTTTTCTCCTATTTCCATCATCCATGTTTTTTTTATTTTTTTATGACACCATTCTTCCCCCTCTTGGGCCGCATTCCCTCCTCCTCTTCCTCCCTTCCTCCCCCTCCTGTCTTCCTCGTCATCTCTCTCTTTTTATTCCCCCCCCCCTCCCCCCCATCCCCAGGAGCAGTACGAGTTAGTCCACAGAGCAATCGCGCAGCTCTTCCAGAAGCAACTGCAGCTACTGGAGAGCCCCACAAATGTGCAGATACATGATGTCATGGTATGACACGCGCACACGCACGCGCGCGCAAAAATAAAAATGTTGCTGAGTAACACAATGGAAGCAGGGGAAAAAAAAAAACCACAAATAATTAGTCACATGGGAGGCAGAGTGTCAGAGTCAGCCTCCAGAAACTCTCCAAGAGCTGTGACCTAAAAGAGCGTGAAAATGGAGCCTGGGAGGACTCGAATTGAAAAGAACTCTTTGCTGTGTTGTTATTTACTCCTCAGTGTCCTCCTTTGGCCCACATAACCGCTTACCAGCACCGTGTCCCCAGTTGTGCCTCTTCCCTCCCGCGTCCCAGAAGTGCAACCAAGGAGAAAAGTTTCTCGACGTAACGCGTTGAAAAACGTCAACATTTCATCATTCCCGAACTTTTCAAGTCCCTCCACTTTTCGCGCCATGCCAAATGGAATGGACAGTCCATTATTATCAATCGTCGGGCTCGCTTCCTGACTACTTAGTGCTGGGTCTATTTTATAAAGTAGCATTAGCTAATCCATCCAGAGAGAGACGCAGTCACGATATGAGACAGCGAGACAAACTCAAAGCCGCACTTGTGGACAGACTTCCTGCTCGGGCAGCTCTGATCACTGTGACATTCCCTTGCTTCCCGTTCCGTAATGCATTTAGACCCGAGAATAGATCTTCATCTGTCTGGACAGTTTTGCCGGAGACACTCGCTCATTTTAAGAGTCGCCGTGAAATGACGTGCAACATCGAAGGAACTTATGCTAGCGATTATTTTAAGAGGTGGTTTTAATCGGAGTTGTTTGGGCTTTTAAACTCGACTGTGCAGAGACAATGGTGCGATTATCTTGTGTTTAACTGGTTCTCCAAACATGATCAGTGGGCCCGACTGACTCACCCCATCAGCGGCTGAGTCACGTCTACTCAGCCATTGTTCAGTGGCCCAAACGCCCACAAAGGTGCGCTGTGGTTTTATTCTGCGCTGCCTCCACGTTTTTCTTTTATTCCGCCTTCTGTGCAAGTATTGCGATGCAAATGAAATTGCCACGGCGCGCATGGCCAGAGACTCGCATCATTGTCCGTCATGTTACCGTCATTGTTCAGCCGTCTTTGCCTTTCAGCGAAGGGGCATATCGGACGCACAGGCGGGCCGTGCTTTCCTTTTCATTTCCTGTCGGTCTAATAGCCAGGTGTCCTTGTGCTTTTGTCCAGATAGTGTGCGCTGCAGAGTGTGCCCGGGATTAACCTCTGAATATCGTGTGATGTATTTGCGCACAGGATGAAAGCAGTCCAGACAAAGCGAGCCACCAGTCCAATGATGAGCGATGGGACACGCCTCCCCCGAAACCGCCTCGTATACGCAGGTACGATGCTCATTGTGTCCTCTTGTCGGTGACATGTACTAA